AGAGTGTCATCATGGGCTATGAGGATATCATAAAACTCATTGGTAAAAATACTAGCCGCAACTAACAAATGACCTCGGACAACATCGTCAGGGGAACACCACTGCAAACCCAACACAATAAGAAGATTTATAACCATCTGTATAACAGTGCTGGCATGAGCATGCAACCGGAAGTGATCAAGAAAAAGAGACTGAGAAGCAGCGGTAGGCAGGACAGCTTTGGTGCACGGCAGTAGAGGAGAACAGACATGAACCGTCGGAACCTCCCAAGGGAAAAGGGAAAAGGCAGACACTACATGAACATACAAGGGAGGCAACTGGAGAGAAGACCAGAGTGAAGACAAAGAGAAAACGGACAGAGCAGGCAGGGGCACCGATCAAATAATGGACTTCCATTAACGTCTTAGACTAATCAATATGTAGAAGGAACATGAAGGTCATGAGAGCAGACAAAGTAATGAAGGCAGTGAGCATCACGATGATCGGCTAAGGAAGGAACATTCGCTTCAGCATACAGGCTTTCAAAAGGGGCTGAACGAAAGGCACCAAGGCATAAATGTAGACCCTGATGATGAAGGGAATCTAACTTAGAAAGAGTTGCAGGAGAAGCCGCAGAATAGATTTGGCTGCCATACTCCAGCTTTGACAAGACTAGGGAGGAGTGCAAACGGAGGGGAGACCGACGATCTTCCCCCCATGAATGATGTGCAAGAATTTTAAGAAGGTTCAGCTGACCATGGCAAGCTGCCTTCAAAGAGGAAATGTGAGGTTTCCATGTTAACCGGCAATCAAATAGAAGGCCAAGAAACTTGACCGTATCACACTCTGGGATATGTGAGCCAAGCAAATACAATGGAAATATCTGGGACAAGAGGACATCTAGTGAAGGTAATGAAATGGATTTTCGCACTAGAAATTTAAAGCCATGAGAAGTGGTCCAATGGGAAACTCGGTCAATCGCATCTGAAGGGAGGCCACTACTAGGCGACAGACAGTGCCTGCATAAACTATAGTGAAGTCATCCACATAAAGCGACGACCAAATATGCGATGGAAGAGAAGAAGGTAGTGTTTTTTTTATAGCCAAGAGAAAAAGGGTAGTGCTAAGGACACACCTTGTGGGACTCCCTCGGCCTGAACAAAGTCTGAGGAAAGCGAGGTGCCAACACAGACATGAAAATGTCTTTCAGATAAGAAAGCAGCTAGGAAGGCTGGTAGATTACCATGGAGGCCAAAGGAGTGGGCCTGGCTAAGATGTTATACTCCAATTGGTGTCATATGCTTCTCAAGATCAAACAAGACTGCTAAGATGGAGTGTTTATTAGCAATGGCATTTCACACATGTATATCTAAGTGGAGCAAGGGGTCCAAAGTAGAGCGGCCCTTGTGAAAGCCATATTGCTGAGGAGAAAGACTATCGTGAGTCTCCAAATACCACATCAGATGTCTATTCACCAATCATTCCATCACCTTGCAGACTACACTGGTCAGAGCAATGGGACGATACTGAGAGGTATCAAACCCCTAAGTGGTTTGCAAAACAGTAGTACAATGGCAGATTTTCCATTGAGGGAGAACTTGTATCCAAACAAGATTGAAAAGATGCAAAAGGACTGTAAGGGCTGTAGAATGCAGATGCTGTAGCATACAAATATGAATATCAGGCCCAGCTGCTGATGACCGGCAAGCAGAAAGCGTGGACTCTTGCTATAAGAGAGTAAAAGGTATGTTATATGGCTCCATCCCATTAGAAGAGAAATCCATGAGTGAATGCTCCCTGGCAAAGATAGGTCCTCATTTCCATGGCAACTTCAAGAGGTTCTGTAACCCGCAAAATGGGAGCCGGCTCCAGAGCGTATGCCACATAACTTCTGTGCCTTCTTGCAAACCGCACACACAGGGGAAGTTGAGGTAAAACTAGAAACGTAGTCTTGCCAACAAGTGTGTTTAGCATTGCGTATGATGATGCAAGTGACTGCAGTCTGATATCAATAATGGCCCCATGCAGCACATTTCAAACGCACTGCACAGGCACATGCAGGAGACCACCAAGGTATGGATGTTTGAGAATGCCTGCCCGAGGTTTGAGGAATAGAAAGTGGTGCTGCAGTCAAAACTAAGGTCAAAAACTGGTGCACCATCTCATCAATAGAGGACGGAGAAGGGTCCTCACAAAAAGCAGTTAAATGAGAGCATAAGTCCCAATTCACTCGTCCAAATTGCCGACGGGGGCTACAAGGTGGTTGGTAATATGTAGTAGAAGTAAGAATAATAGGAAAGTGATCACTGACGTGCAAATCCGGGAGAACAGACCAAGCATAATCAAGTGCAATTGATGAGCAGATAAAAAGATCAATGCAAGAGAGAGACTGAGTGCAAGAGTCAAAATGGATGGGAGAGCACCCAATTTAAAACAAGAAAAGGATGAGAAATGAGAAGAGCCTCCAACTGATCACTACAAAAGTCACAGTGGGAGCCTCCCCAAAGATGATCATGAGTGTTAAAATCACCTAACAACAAGATGAGTGGCAGCAGAGAAGATATCAAGAACGCAAGATCCAAAATACAGAATGCATGGGAAGGGGAGAGATATAGAGAGCAAGCTGTATATCACCTGTGCAAATAAATGTAGGCTGCAGTATAATGCAGCAGAGAATGAACGAAGACCTGTTGAAACAGTATATGTACCAATGCACACAAGAAGCGCACTTTCATTAAAAATTTCATCAGGAAAGGGATCAGAAGAATGCGACAGGACATAGCCTGAAATGGGACACACAACAGCTGAACGAACTTTAGGCTCTTGTAACGCGACACATATTGGGGAAAACTAGGAGAGCAACACCTGGAGCTCTCTCCGATTACCCGAGGCCACGAATATTCCATTGTAAATAAGTCATTACAGCCTCTCCTCACTTAACAACGGAGTTCCATTCCTACGACCAGGTAGGTAAACAAATTCGTCACTAAGTAAGGAGCATACTATAATGGTAATGGGTTTGTGTCAGTTATCTTTGATACTGTTTTAATGTCACCTTTGCACCATTTATAACATTTTGGTGCATTTTCAAATGTTTTACAGTAGTGTACTGTATATTGTAAATAAGTAGAATAGAGGAAATCAGCTCTAATATACATTATTTAAGCATGCACACTGGTCAGAGAGCCCGTCATAAGTCCAAGGTGTCAGTAAATGAGCGAGAAGAGGCTGTATTTACAAAGATAGATATGCCAACAATGAGAAGCGATAAAATCTGTGGGCTAGTAGGGTCAGTGAAGTCAATGTGTGGAGGCAATGGAAAGTGTGTAAGCAAGGAGGAATCGGAATGCTGTGAAGGAAAAGACTGCTCCGAGAGTTGTGAAAAATAAGAAGGGGCATAAGGAGGTGCACCGGTGTCCATCGAGGTTTCATCTCGGCAATATAGTCAGAAATAGCATCAAGTGTCTCAGCGGACAAGAAAATGCCGATACCATGGCTTTAGAAAGGTGAGGTAGAGCAAGTAGATATCGGGGAGACTATGGAGGGAACCAAAGAGGTCTGAGAGGGGAGGGGAGTATGAACCTGGAGAGATGTGCCAGTGGGGACAAAAGAGTTCTGCAGTGGAACAGGAGAGGAAGAAGGCTGGAAGGGGATTGGGGAAGAAGTCTGGAGGGGAACAGGAGAAGAGGGGAGCACATGAGGGGGATGAGCCTCCACCTTGTGTGAGAATTAGAAAGCTGAAAAGGAGAACTGTTGAGGAACTGTAAGCACTGTAGGAGAGACTTGGGCTTAGGAGACAGGTTCAACTTTGCAGGTGATAGGCACGAAGAAGGTGCAGGCATGCGAAGCCTTGCAGACTGAGAAACTAGTGGGCGAGAAGATGAAGAAGTAGAGGTAGGAAGAGGTAAGGAAGTGGGGGTTTTAGAGCATAAAACCACAAAAGAATTAGAGACAGGGGGTACCCTGGAAGACAAGGCACCGGAGGAGCTGGTAGGCAGGGGGACCACCAAGGTTGAATATCTTCTAGCTACTCGAGAATAAGGAACACGAGGAACATTCTTCTGTAGGCAGAGCCTAGAGACAGCCATAGCACAAGACCTTTGCTTTCCTTAAGGACAATGGATTTCATATTCATTAAGATAGGCCTGACATCAGCAGGAAAAGAAGGGTGAGTTTCGTTGCAATTAAGACAAGTGGGGTGAAGACTGAAAGATGTATAGGCATGATCCACAGCACTGTAGACCAGGCACTTCACTGCAACCCTGCAGTATTTAGCTGGATGTCTGCAGTGCCAACAATTTGACACCATTGAGGTGTAAGAACCACTTTATGGACCCCTAGGTGATGTCCACAATATAAATGGAGGATGGGAATTCACAACAGTCGAAGGTTAAGCAGATGTTACTGGGAAAGTGCCTCCATCCACAAGCGGACACGACATATGTATCCACTCTGAGAATCGGAAGGTCCTGAAAAACTAATTGCTCTAAAATATCATCACCGCAAGGCAGAAAATCACAATTTTACAATGGTACACAGTAAGACCATTGTACCACTGCAAGAACTGAGGGTAGCATGCTTGTGAACTGTAATAGGAACATTATCAAAGGAAGTAAGATGGGAAAGATCATGAGCTTGGCCTGCGTTCTGAACTGTAACAATGCACACACCGCTCTGAAGAGTGTGAAAGGATATATTTAGTCCAACGTGTCATAAAAGAGCTTTACAGGTACTATGGTCTGAAAGATAATCAGTTGGAGACATCGGCTGCAAGGAAAAGAATTTGGTCACTGTGTACTTGTAAACATGGTGCGTAAAGGAAGTGGGTGTCGTGTAGGTTGTTTCTGGGTGGAATGAGCAGAAATCAAGGACCATCATCAGCAAATGGTCTGGAACATTTAGGCCATAGGATCACGGGCAGCCCAACCTGAGGCAGGTGGGCGATCCAAAAACCATTGCACCACATTTTTTGGAAGCCAGACGCATAGTTACAGATGTGCAAGGGCAGAGGCACTAGAGAAATGGGCAGAGCCTTGGCACCTGGAGCAAGTGATGAAGCATCACCGCAGGAGGCACAAGGGTATGGAAAAAGTCTGGATAATGATCCAACAATAAAGTCAGGTCAGAACAGGATATGGTAACAAAAAGGGGCCTGGGAGGAGGAGGGGGTCACAGAAGGAAGACTCCATGATGGTGGTATTTTTTCTCGTTATTTGAAGAAAAAAAAGAAAAGAAAAAAAACGAAGAGGGACAGTAGAGGGACAGTTACTAGAAGGCATGAAAGGGTCGTAAGTTCCCCTCTCATCAAAGAGGACCTCGACACTGTCCACAGTGCAGATGCAGCATGGAACCGTGCCTTTACACCAGCAAACCAGCACTCCGGAAAAGTAACATCACATCCACCGAGCCACCTCGGCAGACATAAGAGAGGGTGGTCAGATACCCACCACAAAGCATACATCATTTGGCTGCCACCTCCGAGAACCGACAGGCAGCCTCTGGAGATACACCCATCACCTGAAGGACACCCTGCTTTACCTCCTGGAAATCCGTATGGGAGCAAGGTGCCTCCAGATGATCCAGAGTCCACGGCAAACTACACCACTCCCGAGGAACCCCACAGAGTGGGATGAACCCCGGCACACTTCCCTCTACTAGAAAATCATAATGCCAGAGGGAGGACCCCAGAGGCTACAAGCAGGACAAAGAAATGGGAGGGGGGGAGGGAAAAAAAAAAATGAGGATGGGAGAATGGGATAGGAAAGAGACGATTGGGGGGTAATTAGGTTTGGTCTGAGGAAGATCAAAATTTTTCATTTCCTAGCCCAAAGCCTCTTTACCAAAGGACCCCCTTTAAAAGAGGATGAAATACAACTTATAAATAAAATTAAACGGGGAAGGGCAACTCGCAGGGAAAAACTGACTCATGAATTTCCCCCAGTGGTTTTTTTAACCCCCCCACATTATGCTTTATAAACCATAATAGGACTCACCATATTTGACTTCCCATGTATTTGCAAAGTCACTGTGGGTAAAATGCCCTTCAATAAATTTTTCCCTGCTAAAATGTCTTTTAAAATTTACCAGTAATAAAGGACTCAGGAGGAAACTCCCGGGGTCTCTTAGAACTGTTCTAAAATTATGGCGGGCAACCTTGCCATGGAGCTTGTGTTGCTTTGAGAGCCAGCCGACAATTTTGGTAGGACCTAACTATTTTGACTGCCGGTGTGAAGGGTGAAAATTTTGCCAAACAAGCTACTTGGGGGGTCTCCCCTTATTTCAGGTTAGTTTGGGGTGGCAAGAGGCTTTGGGAGTTTGCCTGGGCATGACGTGTATTCGATGGGGGCTCCTATTTTGCTTTGGTTCTACCCCTTTGTCAACCTATGCTTGGGTTTTCCGTTCCAAAGAGGTGATCCCCTAGATTTCAAGATCAAGTCCCCTTTACATTAACTTTGTGTAAAAACTTCAGTTTCAGGGAACTGGCAACAGAATTTTAAAACCCCCAAAATTTGCCATTCCCTAAAAAGCTCAGTTCGAACTTCGAGATGGCCCTTTTGGGTGGTACGTGCTACACAGATTCCCCCCTCTCTGCCACCTCTATGTAGAACAAATAAGCACATTTTGTGTTCTCCAGTTAATAATGTAAAAAACATCGGCCCTGAGGTGATTAACGTAACTCTTTTACCTGACTTTGTGAAGCAACAATCTATAAAACTATACTAATATAGATCAAACCTTTATTTAGACGCTTTTTGCACAAAATTGTTGTTAAAGTTTTGATAAAATTTTAATCCTGCCCATTGCAAAAATAAAAACTCGCCTTCATTATCCCACATTCTTGATGCGCTATTTCAGTACCAAGACCTTTAATTCACTTTGCAATCGGACCCCAAAACTATCTAATTGATGGGGGCTTCCTCATGGAAGACTGCTGCTGCCTAGGTATTGTGGTAGGGTGGTAGTATGGTTTTATGGGGGGATGGTGGGGAGGGGGGTGGGTGGTGGTGTAGTGGTTTAGTGGTAAGGGGGGGTTAGTAGTAGTGGGGGTAGTAATAGGGTGGTGGTGGTGGTGGTAGTAGTGGTAAGGTGGTGGAGTGGTAGAGTAGTGTGGTGGGTTTGTAGTAGTGGTAGTAGTGCAGTGGTTTTAATAGCGGGGTAGTAATGGTTGGGAGTAGTAGTGGTTTGGGGGGTAGGTTGGTAGTGGTAGTGGGGGTAGTAGTGTGGTGGTAGTAGAGTGGGGTGGGGGTCGTGGGGGTGGTGGTAGTAGTGGTAGTAGCAGGGGAGTAATAGCGGTGGTAGTATGGTTTGTGTGTAGGGGGAGTATAGGGTATAGTAAGTGGTAGTAAAGTGGGTATGGTAGTAGTAGTAATGGGGTAGTAGTGGTGGTAGTAGTAATGGTGGAGTAGTGGGGGTAGTAGTAGTGGTGGTAGTAGTGGGTGGTAGTAGTGGGGTAGTATATAATAGGGGGGTAGTAGTAGTAGTGGTAAAAGTAGTGGTGGTGGTATTTGGGGTTTGGGGTGGTTGGGGTTGGTGGTGGTGAGTGGTGGGGTGGTGGTGGTGGTGGTGGGGTGAGGGTGTGTGGTATGGTAGTAGTGGAATGGTGTAGTGGTAGTGCGGTAGGTTTAAGTGGTAGTAGTAGTGGTGGTGGTGGTGGGGTTTTTTATAGTATAGTAGTTGGTGGTAGTGGTAGTGTGGTCGTGGTAGTGGGGGTAGTATGGCATAGTGGTGGTAGAAATAGTTGGTGGGTGGTGGTGGGTATGGTGGTGGGGTGGTAGTATGGTGGTGTAGTGTAGTGGGGGTGGTGGTAGTGGTATGTGATTGTAAACAGTGGGAGTTGGGGAGATGCTGGTTAGTAGTAGTAGTAGTGGAGTAGTAGTAGTGGTAGTTGTTGGGGGGTAGTAGTATGGTATAATAGTGGGGGTAGTAGTGTGGTGTAATGTGGTGGGAGTGGGGAGTAGTAGTAGTAGTAGTGGTGGGGGGGGTAGTAGTGGTAGTGGTAGTAGTGGGAGAGTAGGGTGGTAGTAGTGGTAGTAGTGGTGGTCGTAGTGGTAGTGGTGGTAGTGGTAGTGTGGTAAGGTTGTAGGGTGTATGGTAGTGGTATAGGGGATGGTGGGGGTAATTTGTGGGAGTGGTTGGTGTTTAGTTTGGGGGGGGTAGTGGTGGTGTTGGAGTAGTGGGTGGGGTGGTAGTGGTGGGTATGGTGGTTGTGGTAGTAGTGTAATGGTGGTGTGGTGTATGGGGGAGTAGTGGTAGTAGGGGGTTTGTATGGTAGTGGTAGTAGTGGTGGGTAGTGGTGGTAGTGGTAGTAGTGGTAGTGGTGGTAGTAGTAGTGGTAGTAGTGGTGGTAGTGGTAGTAGTGGTGGTAGTGGTAGTAGTGGTGGTAGTGGTAGAGATAGTGGTAGTAGTGGTGGTAGTGGTAGTGAGTGGGGTAGTGATGGTAGTGGTGGTAGTGGTAGTAGTGGTTAGTATGGTAGTGGTGGTAGTAGTAGTGGTAGTAGTGGTTGGTAGTGGTGGTAGTGGTAGTAGTGGGTGAGTAGTGGTAGTAGTGGTAGTAGTGTGTAGTAGTGGTGGTATGTGGTGGTAGTGGTAGTAGTGGTAGTAGTGGTAGTGAGTGGTATGTAGTGGTAGTAGTAGTAGTGGTAGTAGTGGTCTATATGTAGTGGATGGTAGTGGTGGTAAGTGGTAGTAGTGGTAGTAGTATGGTAGTAGTGGTAGTAGTAGTTTATTTTTGGTTATATGTAGTGGTAATGGCATAGTAGTCTAGTAAGTTACATCATTATGAATTTTCTCTAATAGCACTTTATTAAATGTGTTTCCGACATGACTCATTGTTATTTTTCACATTTTTTTCACAATCATACTTGTAAGATATGGTGTATGTATCTAATACTTCGTACACAGAATCAGCTTATACCGGGGTCCTACTGAACCACAGTTTACCGGGGTCCTACTGAACCACAGTTTACCGGGGTCCTACTGAACCACAGTTATACCGGGGTCCTACTGAACCACAGTTTACCGGGGTCCTACTGAACCACAGTTTACCGGGGTCCTACTGAACCACAGTTTACCGGGGTCCTACTGAACCACAGTTGCCCAAAAAAACACAGTTTGGGCAACCAAATATGTGGCTGGACTTGATAAACCTCCACAGCATAAGACGAATGAGGACTGGTATGGTAATACTGATAGAATGTGGAGAGTCACTGATCTACAGTTCAAGACAGTTATTAAAGGAAACGTTTCGCCACGAGTGGCTTCTTTAGTGACGAAACGTTACCTTTAATAAATGACCTGAACTGTACATGTGTGTCTTTTTCCACACGATGGAAAATACACAGAACTGCAAGTCCGTCTCAAACACAACCTTCCCAATATTCTCCACCAGACTCCATCATATATATACTCGTGTACTACTCAGGTAGATATGTTTGATTTGATAAAGTCCACTGTGTGGGCGAAAACGTAGTCAATAAAGTATCTCATTTTACTGCATTTATGTTTATTTTTCCAACACTGCCCATACTAGGCAGGTCCTTTTCTAAACTAACCATTTCCACACAACAACTTTTCCAACTTTTTACCAAAGCCACAAAAAAGGTTATTACCGATATGAAATATTCAAAACAAAAGCTAATACACATAGTGTTTATATTTAATGTGTATAAAAGAATAATGTTTATTTAATTTGATAATATATTAAGAAATCTTTGTATTCCAGGAGGGAAAGAATGAACCAGCGGTGGAAGAGGAGATTGTCAACCGTGCTGAGTCTAGTGTGTGTCTTCTGGTGTGTTGACAATCTTCTGAAGACTGGTGGGTACCCCTGTGTCTTCCTCAGCCCCCGTGTCTTCCTCAGGCCCCCGTGTCTTCCTCAGGCCCCCGTGTCTTCCTCAGGCCCCCGTGTCTTCCTCAGCCCCCCGTGTCTTCCTCAGGCCCCCGTGTCTTCCTCAGCCCCGCTGTCTTCCTCAGCCCCCGTGTCTTCCTCAGGCCCCCGTGTCTTCCTCAGGCCCCCCGTGTCTTCATCAGCCCCCGTGTCTGTCTTCCCCAGCCCCTCGTGTCTTTCACCCCTCCGTGTCTATCACCCCCCGTGTCTTCCTCAGCCCCCGTGTCTTTCACTCCTCCGTTTCTATCACCCCCCGTGTCTTCCTCAGTCCCCCGTGTCTATCACCCCCGTGTCTTCCTCACCCCCGTGTCTTCCTAAGTCCCCCGTGTCTATCACGCCCCGTGTCTTCCTCAGTCCCCGTGTCTTCCTCAGTTCCCCGTGTCTATCACGCCCCGTGTCTTCCTCAGCTGAGTGCTGGCACGGACTTTAGTGACCAGTACAACACTGCTCACACTCTCACTCAGACTCGTGGGAACTTTTAAGATCTTTCAAAATATTTTCAGTGATGACAGATAAAACAAGTTAGTAATGTGTAACAGTGAGCGGGTTCTTAATCCAAGGAACTGGACCTATCCTCCACTTCCATTCAACTTATTTCCTATTTTTCAGGCGCAGTTTGGCCCTTACGGGTTCAGTGCTTCCTCCTTATTATGAAAATAATCGAGTATCGCGTAGCTCGATTGCTAGCGCACTCAGCTTACACATTTAGGTCCTTGGTTCGATCCCCGATACGGGTGGAAACATTTGGACATGTTTCCTTAAGACACTTGCTGCCCCTGCTAAACCTAGCAGTAGATAGGTACCTGGGTGTTAGCCGACTGGCGTGGGTTGCATCCTGGGGAACGATCGTTCCAGACCTCAAGACATAGTCAATACCAAATTCACTATATTAGACCATAGTGCAATTACTAGTGAGAGACTAGTGCTATTTTTAATTTGTACTTTTATATTATTAGATTAAACCTATTGAAACTTTAGCTCACTCTAGCTCAAAACATGACTCCACAAAAGTCATTATTAGACCTTAGTGCAATTACAAGTGAGAGTCTTGTTCTATTTTTAATTTGTATTTTTATATTGCTAGTTTATACCTAGTTGTACTTTAGTTCATTCCAGAAACAACACATAGACAACATCAACTTCATTTGTGAAAGTAGTGACTATACCCTACATGACCAAAATACTCTAGCTACTATACTTGTCCAAACTTCCTACCACTACAGATATCAGTAGTAGAACTCAACACACAACTCAGGATATAAATAACCATAATTTAAACCTAGAAGATGATTGATCACGTTGACCCTGATCTAAACCTCCATAATCTGACACCCAATCAAAACCTATGGAAAGTAACTGCTTTTATTACACAGCATCACAAGCCACCACTATCCTAAACAATGCTAAAAGTCTATCAGTACTTAACTACAACATCAGGTCCTTAAGCAAACACTATGATGACTCCTAGCACTCCTTGAATCACTAAAGACACACCTTCTCCTGCATTATTCTTACTGAGACCTGGCTTAAGCAGGACACAATAGATATCTACCCTCTACCAGGATACACAGCAATTCACAACTGCAGAACAAACCAAGTTGGGGGTGGTATTGCAATCTATTACTCTAACCAATTATCTTGTCTTAGCACCACTTGCTTTAGTGATGAATATGGGGAATACATTTTTGCTAATTTTACTGTAAAAACCTTAAGACGCCTATAACATCGGTGCCATTTACCGGATACCTCACACAAACATCCCAAATTTCAGTGAGAAATTAAAGTCACTAATAACAAACAGACAAATGAATAAGCACCACCTTCTCTTAGCTGGAGACTTCAACATCAACCTTGGCTTACTAGATGATCAGCCTGTAACTGATTTCATCAACAATATGAACAACACACTTCTCATACCAACAATAACTAAACCAACCAGGCTCACTGAGACAAGTGCAACCATAATAGACCACATATGGACCAATATACTAGCCCCCCTTAAATCAGGATAATCACAGATAGCACTACAGACCACTACCCAACCTTCCTCCTGACAAACATTAGTAAACCACCACTTGAATACAACAAAGTCTCATTTAGACTCCATAAACGAGGCCTCAGTAAGGAAGTTCACAGCTGACCTAGAGACTGTTGATTGGCCTACAGAATTCTCCAAGGCCAATGGTATTGATGACTGGACAGACATTTTTCTTAACAAATTACTTAGACTATACAACAAACATTGTCCTATAAAAACAAAACAGATCACAAACAAACGGCTTGGTTGCCCATGGCTAACCAGCACCATTCTGAAATCCATTGACAAGAAACACCAATATGAAAAACAATATAGACAGGGCTTAATACACAAAGATACTCTTAAACACTATTCATCAGCTCTCACCAAAGTGATAAAAAAAGCCAAACAACTATACTACTCCAGTAGATTCACAGACACTAGAGGAGATATAAAAAAGACCTGGAAAACACTCTCTCAGATTCTAGGGACCCACAAACTGAGAAAAACCAAGAATATTGTCCTAACTAAACCTAATGAAACACCACTACATCCCACTGACACAGCTAACAAGATAAACGACTTCTTCTCAAACATAGGATCTAATCTCGCCAGTAAAATCCCACATACCAATGCCCATGCCGGGGACTACCTAGATGGAAATTTCCCTAATTCCTTCTATCTTGCACCAACTGAGCCCACGGAAGTCATTGAGATCATAAAGTCACTTAAAAATAACTCGGGGAATCTGTCTCATGTTCCACCATTACTGTACAAGCGAGCGGCCCATGTCCTTTCGCATGCTATTTCATTACTTTTTAACAAGTCAATAGAGACTAGCACCTTCCCGAAACTACTCAAGATGGCAAGGGTTACACCAATACATAAAGGTGGTGACCCTACAGACTTAAACAACTATAGGCCAATATCTAACTTACCATTGCTATCCAAAATCTTTGAGAAACTTGTGCACAGGAGACTGTATTCATTTATAACGGCTCAAAACATACTCAACCCCTGCCAGTTTGGATTCAGGAAAAATAAAAGCACTAATGATGCAATCATAAAAATGCTAGATCTGCTTTACACAGCATTGGAAAATAAGGAATATCCACTAGGAATTTTTATTGACCTAAGAAAAGCTTTTGACACAGTAGACCACGACATCCTACTCCACAAACTTGATCACTACGGTATAAGAGGCCATGCGCTTGCTTATTTCAAATCTTACATTACTAATAGGTATCAGTACGTCACCATTAAGACACAGCATCAGCAACACGGCCACTTGATACTGGAGTTCCGCAGGGAAGTGTCCTTGGTCCCCTGCTCTTCCTCATATACATCAATGACCTTCCAAACGTATCCCAACACCTGAAACCCATTCTCTTTGCTGATGACACGACTTATGTCATCTCTCACCCTAATCTTGCCACCCTCAACACCATTGTGAATGAGGAGCTGATTAAAATATCGACTTGGGATGACAGCCAATAAACTTACGCTTAACACTGACAAAACCTACTATATTATGTTTGGTAGCAGAGCAGGAGATGCACAAATTAACATTAAGATTGACAACACTCTAATTACCAGAAATAATGGGGGAAAATTCCTAGGCTTATACCTTGACAACCTGAATTTCAGCACCCATATCCAGCATATAGCCAAAAAAGTATCCAAAACGGTTGGGATCCTCTCAAGATACGATACTACGTGCCGCAAAATGCCCTTCTCACACTATACCACTCACTTATTTATCCATACCTCACCTATGCTATTTGTGCTTGGGGATCAACTGCAGCAACACACCTAAAGCCAATAATAACCCAACAAAAAGCTGCAGTAAGAATAATCACTAAATCCCATCCCTGGCAACACACCCCCCCACTCTTCATAGATCTAAACTTACTCCCAGTTTTGTACATCCACACTTACTACTGTGCAATCTATATCTACAGGGCCTTAAACTTAATATCAACCTTGACCTAAAACGCTTTCTTGATAGTTGTGACAGAACCCACAGGCATAACACCAGACACAAACATCTCTACGACATTCCCCGTGTCCGACTAAACCTTTACAAAATTCAATGTATGTCAAAGGCCCTAAAATCTGGAATACCCTACCTGAGAACTCTAGAACTGCAGACACATTCATCACCTTCAAAACTACCATTAGAAAACATCTTATCTCCCTGATACACCCCGTCAACTAACTACACGAATACCACCTGGTGGTTCACACTTACACTCACTCACTCATTTGAGCATAAACAGAAATATTAATCTCAGTCTTAAAAATAATGAATCCTGTGATACTCCAATACTGAAACTATGTACTGTGCCAAAAAAAAAGCATTCACATTGCTAAACTCACAAACTAGTGTTTAGTCACTTAGCCATAATACCAACTTACCTCATAATTTGTAATATTTTACAATTAAGAATAAAACTAAGTATGCCCGAAATGCCTAGCCATGCTAAGCGTTCTAGTGGTACACTCTGTAATCACAATTTTACTACATGTAAACCAAACAATAACCAAATTTCTGTAAACTCAGCATTGTAATCCTTATAGAGAATAAACTTTGAATTGAATGGAGCTGAACTTTTCTCCAGGCTGAGGGACTGACCATCTCAAATACTTTCTCTCTCATTACTACTGCTGCCTTTGTATTTGACCGAAGAAGCCTATTATGTAGGCGAAACGTTTCATCATTAAAGATACCCAATTGCTGCACGTGTGTCTTAATCTTCAAGTGAATCTTATTCAGATGAGGTCAGGTAGACAATGAAGTCACGTGATCCTGTTGTTAGGCAGGGTGGTCTTTACCTGCTTCACTATCATTAATGTCAGTTTTTTTTTTTTAAATTTTGTAGTTTCCAGAACTATGCTCACGGTGTCGGTGACAGCGATTAGCGAGGCTTTTAGACATCGTTGGCGCCAAAAATTTTGTTCAGTGAGGATGAGGTGTGCATCATTCTAATTCATCAAATGTTCGGTGGAGTTCCTGTGGAGGACACAGGCGTACTTTATCAAGTCGTCCCTGATGCAGGCGTTTCGATATTCATTTAGAAGGACCGAAAGCTTTCTGCCTGTTTCCCTACATATTTCCTAGGACAGTGTCCACCGGGGACGGTGTAGACGCCTGGTGTGCAAGTTAGAGGTGTGGGACTCCCAGTACCTAACTGTTGGTCTTAACAAATGCTGTGTCCTCTGTCCAACTTAATAAAGTCGTCACTGAGAACATTTTTAATAAAGGCTTGTTCTGTCTAATTTGCGAATGAGAGAGTAGCTCCAGCTCCTTTAACCAAGAGCCCTTCACACGCATTAAGCAACCCAGTTCTGAAATTATACGAGTTAAAATAGTAAGGGTTATACAGCACCCGAGATATAGCAGAAAAGTAGACCTGATCCCACGAAATGAAGACCATCTTCATTTTTTTTTTACACCAGGAAACCTTTCCTAGCACCACAGCGCCCGGCTGAAGGAACCTCCTTGAAAAGTTTTGTTAAAGGTAGTTTTTATGTCAGCATCATGAGGAAACTGAATTATGCTTATGATAAAAGCATAAATTAAGACCTCTTGACATAGAGCAACAACATTTGTTTACAGTTTGGTCTAACAACCACGTTTTTTTTTCAGATAACGGCCTTCGTTCTGCAACACCTGGTGACACTAGTGATAATTACAAGAGGGTACTGATGAGTTCTCTTGATATCAGTGATAAGCTAACAGAAAATATAGCTTCTCTGCCATCCGAGGTCGTTAGAAAAAATACAACCCACTGTCATCTACTGAATAATCGTCACCAAGAAGATTTTATTTCAAATCAGAATGTATCTAAGGATAGCTATGAACTCCTCAACGCTCCCGCAGCTGCCGACAACGAGACCTACAAGAGCGTGGAAAATCGTCACCGTTACAATCTCTCCATTCTTATTATGGCCTCGGTGGGTCGAAGCGGCTCTACATTTCTCGGTGAACTTTTAGCTTCACAAGGGAACAACATGTATATGTTTGAGCCAATCAGGTCGCTACAAAAGCCGTACCTAAAGGCAAGTGTCGTGGCGGTACTGCTCAATCTTTTTCACTGCAATATAAAGCAAAATTTTCTTGAATTGGGCAAAGTACCCTATACAAATATCAAACATCATTACATCAAAGACAAGTCAAAGGAGCAAATTGTGCTGCACGCTGTAAACGAACACTGCAAGATGGAACCAATACGCATTATTAAGACGATTCGCACTCGACTTCAGTGGACCAAGCAACTTCTAGAAGACAAAGATCTTAATCTGAAAGTGATCCACTTAGTACGTGATCCACGAGGATCATTCGTCTCCACGTTAAATTTAGAATGGAATTTGACGACCAGTAATGTGTGTCACAAGATTCTGCAGGTGAGGTCTTAGTACCACTAACATCAACCACAGTGTATGTGCAATACATCTTTTAGATAACACTATAAACACATGTAAAACACCTTTAATACACACACACACACACACACACACACACACACACATCGAAGACCAGGCAGAACTACAAAGGGATCTGGACAGGCTGCAGACCTGGTCCAGCAACTGGCTCCTGGAGTTCAATCCCACCAAGTGCAAAGTCATGAGGATTGGGGAAGGGCAAAGAAGACCGCAGACGGAGTACAGTCTAGGGGGCCAGAGACTACAAACATCACTCAAGGAAAAAGATCTTGGGGTGAGTATAACACCAGGCACATCCCCTGAAGGCCCCATAAACCAAATAACTGCCGCAGCATATGGGCGCCTGGCAAACCTCAGAACAGCATTCCGACATCTTAATAAGGAATCGTTCAGGACCCTGTACACCGTGTACGTTAGGCCCATATTAGAGTATGCGGCACCAGTTTGGAACCCACACCTAGCCAAGCATGTAAAGAAACTAGAGAAAGTGCAAAGGTTTGCAACAAGACTATCCCAGAGTTAAGAGGTATGTCTATGAGGAGAGGTTAAGGGAAATCAACCTGACGACACTGGAGGACAGGAGAGATAGGGGGGACATGATAACGACTTACAAAATACTGAGAGGAATTGACAAGGTGGACAAAGACAGGATGTTCCAGAGACTGGACACAGTAACACGGGGCACATTTGGGGAAAGTGAAGACACAGATGAATCAAAGGGATGTTAGGAAGTATTTCTTCAGCCACAGAGTAGTCAGGAAGTGGAATAGTTTGGGAAGCGATTAGTGGAGGCGGATCCATACATAGCTTTAAGCAGAGGTACGATAAAGCTCATGGTTCAGGGAGAGTGCCTAGTAAACGACCAGTGAAGAGGCGGGGCCAGGAGCTTGGACTCGACCCTGCAACCTCAACTAGGTGAGTACAAAATTAGGTGAGTACACACACACACACACACACACCCCACACACCCCCCCCCCCAACCCCCCACCACCAACGCGCGCCAAACGCCACACACACACACACGCGCACACACCCACCGAAAACGCGCACAAACGCGCGCGCCGGGACAACACACACCACGCACGCACAGCACAACCCCACGCACGCACACGACACACACCACACACTCGTGGAGGGTCCACGCTGTTTGAGCTCGTGTTTTGGTGGTAATTTCTGACTGTACCATAAAGGGAATTTGAGTGTGGGATATAGGCGTGTGCACGCATAAGAGTGAATATAATCACTTAAGCCCCGAAAAAAGGAAATATAAGTGATCACAGAAAAGCAATTTAGTAAATAGTGACAGTTACTATGTGGGGGCCGTTGGAAGGAAGGTGAACGGTTGTGTCAGCCCTAAATAGTGTTGCCATAATAACGCAAATGGGGTATTTGAAGATAAGTGCGAATCAAGATCAGGAGATAAGAGATATGTATAGATGTGTCAGTAAATACAGTGAGTGAAAAAAAAAAATAGATGAGCTAGAGACCACAGTGCCTACAGGAAGTTAGTGGAAAAATTACCGAGAAGCATCAAGCATTTTCAAACTGGGACCCAGGAGGATGACAACATTACTCCACTGCCAGCTGCAATTAATATTCACCTAGTTTGAGTTTCATGGGGGTCAGCACCAGTCTCTAGCTAGAAAAATTTTGGGTCACTCTCCTCAAGCTATCAGAATTAGAATAAGCGCATTTACTGGCATTAATAGAATTTTTTGAGGTTTAGGAGGTTAAGCAGTTAATTGATAGGA